AGAATGCTGAGTTGTGAGCAAATGGGCCCTGGTGGTGTAACTGGTAGCTCACTGCCCGGAAAGCAAGAGATCCGGGTACGAATCTCAGCTGGGGGGGGGGGTTTGCCTACAACTCAGCATTCATGTGAGCCCTTATATCAACTAGGAGTGTCGACTGCAGGGGCAAATTCTTGACCAAGTCGTACCCAAGCGCTGCCTAAATTTCTAGCATAACAGTCCGCTTTGGGTGCAAAACTTCAATAATACTATCCTGACCCGTCGTTGCGTATTTTACAGACCCTCAATGGAGACAAGCATAGTCCAGAACAAAAACAGGTAGCCCTTTATCCTACTTGTCCCGCCGCAACCAAGCCGAGCTCCGACCTATTGCAAAGATTGCCTCCTAGGGTCCCATAATTTGCTCCGTCTGTGTATTCTGATTGCAAACTTCTTCTTGAAGGCGAACTACAAGTCGGGACACTTGTGGGCCCATAAATAAGAGAACCAATAGGCTGAGACATAAGAGGAGAAGAGGCAGCTATGAGAGCAGGAATATCCACCTCAAGTCCCCGAAACATAATTCTGAAAACGAAAGCAGGAGTAAAATGAAAGCAAAAATACGAGAATCAAGAATCGATAGCACAAAACAATGAGTTTAAACGAAAAAAGGATTAGAAAAATAGATAGGAGGAAATAATGAAATGCAAAAGAGGTGAATGATTATTACGGCGGTCGTTTTACCAGTTCTTGATGCATAGCACTACTGCGGTCGATAAGCTGTTCGAAATTGCTTACCCATCGGTGTTCCTGAAATACAAAACTGTGCTCAAAGCATGGCTACCAATTTTGGAAAGCTATAAAAAGTATCTGACGAAATACAAAAAGTTTAAAAGGAATAGAATAACAAATTAATGTAGTAGGAACACAGCAAAAACCTTCTCAACTATTATTCTTTTTCCAATTCACATGCCAAAAAGTATAACCATCTCACTGGCGGTCACCCCAAAACGACTTCAGGCAGGTCATAACGAAGTCGGAAATCGGAACTTGGAGTTTTAATTTGTTATGTGCTTTGCTTTTTGCTTAAATTGTTACACAAATGAATCTGCAAATAAATATAATCAAATGCTCACCTTACTGTGCGCGAGCGTGTCACCTTCCAGTGAGTATGAGCACGTCCATCAACAGTGATCCGTAATGACCTTGCCTACAAAGTAGTTAAATAAAAAAGTTAAAATAACATAAATAAACAGAAACGATAAGGAAGGGGGTTGTATAATATTTTGAACATTGGATTTTTGAAGCCTAAAACTATACAAGTTACTCTTTCAGCGCCTTTTATATCTCCCCGCTCCACTCGACCTCGTTTTTGGAGGAGTTTCAAGGCGGAATTTGGGAATGTGTCAGGTGGTAACAGGGCACTTTACACTAACATTCACTGATCAACAAGAGAGGCAAGACCTCCGCTAAAGAGAAGCCGCACTTCTGACAGGGTGAATAACGGTCGAGGAATTCCTCGACCATCGCTCTCTACTGTGCGAGAGTAGTGCCGAGAGTGAATGTACGCGCGGAGAGCACAGACGGCTCGCGGGTGGCGAGAGTGAATGTCCGCGCGCGAGAACGTAAAGGATCAGGCGAAAATCCTCGACGTGCCGTTGAGGAATCCTCAAGCCGTTTTCACCCTGCAAGCAATACTTAAATGGTCCTGAGGACTCCTCGACGCGATGTTCCCCCTGCTGTTAAATCTGCAATTACGACACGTCTCTCCGCGGGGAACGGAATATGCATGACTTGCTTTCTCAACTCTGTGCGGATGATCAATAGAGCGTAAGAAGAAAGAACGATCTGCTGAAGTTTTCAACGGTGAAATAAAACTCACCTTAATAGATTCCTTAAGTTCAAGTTGTACAACACCGTCCACATTCGTACCCGGATAGAAAACACCCTGTGGATTCGAATAAGTGATACATATGGAACTGTTCGGCATCCAACTGAAATACAGCCGTTTGAAGACGTTATTCACAAAAACAATGTGCTCCGGCCACCTAACACATGCATAGATGACACTGACATATTCAATTAACGGAATCTTCCATGGACCATGGACCAGTGGGCGGGACCGGAAGTTTTTGTGACGAAATGCATGGTAGGTACGGATCCACGTGTCGAACGCACGAACGTGAACAGGATTCACTTCAAACCTTCCCATGAACGTGGATCCGTACCTACCATGCATTTCGTCGCAAAACCACTTCCGGTCCCGCCCACTGGTCCATGGTCCGTGGAAGATTCCTTTAAAAGAAAAGGCATCTGCGCAGACACTTTCTCGCAAAGAAGAAGAATCGGGCCTCACCCAGTCTGAGGGGCATTGCGATGTACTTTGGGCTCCCAATGCCAATTTGGTTCAAGGAGTCCCTTCTAAGGCTTATCCCTAAACGCTAACTATAAAAGAATATGCTTTCCGTGGTAATGGACGCATTGAGCGCTCTAGATCGAAAGGCCCCTTACTGGAGAAGGCCTGAAGAATCACTGAAAAAGAGGGGGATTGGTTGAAATCCTCGCACAAATTAGGGCCAATCCTCGTGCAATTTTTCAATGGTATCCTGTTCTATGGAAATTACGTATGCATTCAATCTGCCACAAATGATTTACATCCATATTAACAGATGTGAGGAAAGGAAACCATTAAATGGATTACAAATAGGTGCTATGTTTAAAATTTGAAGGCATGCCCCAGGATCAAACTGGTGTGGCTCTTGCACACGAATGTGAATGTATTGGTGCGAAGTGGGCCGGCAGTAAAGAAAAAAGGAAAAGAATCCGTCGGAAACGCTAAGGTTGAGGGCTTGCACATTTTTGTGTTAAGGGAATGAGAGACCGAGCACGGAGAGAGAGGATAGGCGGGAGAGCACCGAAGGATAAGAGAGCGCAGACACTAGCAAGGACCGGAAGAGATCGAAGCGGTCTTTGCAAGGCCCTAGCGTCTTCTACGCACTTTAGAGCCAGAAGAACGGGACATCTGCGACGTTGTGAGCGATCCTATCGTAACTACAAAATAATGGAAAGGATCTATTTACCTAAACTCATCGTGGGATGTGCCTCAAGCAAACTGCAAGCATATACGAAAACTATAAAGAATACTGTGGGAGTTAAACGGCAAATGGAGTGCGCGTAGGAAGGTTTATTTAGGGATAAAACTGAAGCGATCGAGAAAGAGGAAGGGAAAAAGAATCTGGGAAAGAAGTAATGTGGAAGCCTCCCATTTTATGACCAGGGAAGGCAAAGGTTTAAAGGCATGCCCCAGGATCACATTGGTGTGGCTCTTGCACACGAATGCGAATGTATTGGTGCGGATTGGGCCGGCAGTGAAGAAAAAAGGAAAAA